AAAAAAAAAAAAAAAAAAAAGAGGCACGGTGGTTATTTTTATTGGTTGTAAAGTGATCTTGGCCTTTCATAAAATAAAAAGGCCAACTAATACTTAACATTTTTTTTTTAAACAAAAAGCATCCAGTTTCAAGTGGTTCTTCAAAATACCAATAAACAGCAGGATCTAAATTTGTAAACCGGATTGAATGTTTGCCTTTAGGCTGAAATCTAAGATGATAATCTTCAGTATAATAAATTTGAAACATTCCAGGAAATTCTAAGTCAAGCTCTCAGTACAAAGCACTCTACTGAGATTTTTATCTTTTTTTTGAGACAGAGTCTCATTATGTCGCCTGAGGGAGAGTGCCCTGTCGTCCCAGCTCACAGCAACCTCAAACCCTTGGGTTTAAGAGATGCTCTTGCCTCAGCCTCCCAAGTAGCTGGGACTACAGACGCCCGCCACAACGCCCAGCTATTGTTTTTTATTGTACTTGCCATCGTGGTTTTTAGCTAATCCGGGCCGGGTTTGAACCGGCCTCAGTGTTATGTGGCTGGCACCGTAACTACTGTGCTACAGACACGGAGCCCTTCATAAGCTATCTTGATGACAAATTTAATGGTATCCCTTAAATTTTGCACCAGAGAACAGTACTCCACTCGCCTCTCTGCAGTCCGGCCGGGTTTAAGTATTTGGTAGATAAAAGGCATTGGCGAGCACCGGCAGATGCCGGGGCCTGGTGGGAAGCGGGTGTCCGGCACGTTCTGATCTGACCCCTCGTGCGGTTCTGGTCCTTGCGTCTGCCCTCCACCCCCAGCAGTCTCAGGAAAACCGCATAGCAACCGAGTGGCCAGGGTCGCAGCCTGCCTTTAGGCACGTGGCAGTACAGGAGATGGACGCTTCGCAGTGGCAGGAGGGTGCCCCCATTTGCCCTCCAGTGTCTCTTCTCCCACTCACGGTGTCCCCTCAAGACCTGGGCTCTGTCCACGCGAAGGTGGGAATGAACTCTCGCGGGAGCTGGACCCCAGGCACCCCTCCTCCACCCGGCTAGAGTGAGTTGCGTGTCGTGGCAGCGCATGCGTGTTGGCTGCTTGCTGCAGCCGGAAGTGAGCGAATGGGGTACGAGTCCTCTGGGTGGGACTTGGCGCGGCCGCATTGCAGTAGCTCAGGCGTGAGGTTGAGTCAAGGCGTCTGAGTGAGCTTCGAGGCATCGACGGACCGACCGACGGACCGACCGACCGACGGACCGGGACGGGACTGACTGACGATGCGTCGTTCCCACAGGCCTGCGCCTACGGCTCGGCGGGCTGCCGCTCCCGTTGAGCCCAAACCCGATAGCGTGGTGGCCACGACTTTCAAGGTTTTTCTTCTTTGTGCAGGACTTTTGGTTAAAGTTCCCGCCGGGTTGTATTTTTCCTGTAAATTACTTCTTTTCCAAAGTCTGATGTTAATGTCCCCTGAGGAGAGCGCCTTTTACGCGACCATTGTCGCAGTGTTCGGGCTACATGTGGTGGTGGCAATGTTTGTCTTCATAGTGTGGAAGGAGGGCTTACCCCGGTGGCGGGAAAACAAAACCGAATAAGGCAGCTTTCCTTTATAGCTGCAAATGGGGGGGGGGTACCTAAAGGGTTTTTGTTTCTTGTGTTAAATGTTTTTTTTTTTTTTTTTAATTTAAGGGGTAGGGTGGCGGGTGGATGGGGAGGGGAATTAAATATTTACTGTATCTAAGACTTCAGTAAAAATGTGGGTAGGGGTGGGCTGACATTTTTCGACTGCTTGTGTATGTGCCAAGTGTTTTTCACTAAGGACACGATGTTCTTGACTTAGGATCATGTTTGGCTTATGTAAATATTAATGCCAAAATAGGAAACTAGGATGAAAGTAACACTGTAATTAGTAGAATTTATTTCTTATTAAAATGTGTCGTGACGTAATTTTTATGACTCGGCTCAAGCAACAACTTTCAGAGTGCATGTAAGTATCAATGCACAAAACTAAATTTTTGTTTTACGGTGTTCTCAGAGAAGCTGCCATTATATTTGTAGTTTTATTTTTTCCATTGATTAATTGGTTAGTGTTCAAATTTTGGCTCCTAGAATCTGTGTGTTATCAGGTTCTGACGTCTTATGTCATTCGTTATATTTTTTGGTATGTTATTTTACATGAAAATTGAGGTGAGTTTCAACAGATTAAGATTCTGTTAAACTTAAGCTGCAACAAGGTGCAACTGAGGGAGAAAAACGCAGTTTACGATTTTGATGAATTTCTTTCCTGCGGTATCCTTTAAACAATGACCTCATTCTTAAGTGGTTTAAGAATGTAGTTTAACTTTCATCTACAAATGATATTTTTCACTGTCATTTTGTTTTTCAGTAGCATTTTGATAAGATCTAGGAGATAGGTATGAAATCATCAGGCAGAAAACTAAGTGGTTCTTACCGTGGAATTTGGAGACCAGTGTAAGAATGCAGATTAATCTCCACCTTTAATGGAAAGGTTATCAATGTTGGATTAATAGTTTCATTTTAATTCAGATTCTGCCTATGTTGTTATTTGTAGATTTTATATGTCGATAGTTATTAGTACTTTTACAAAGATGTGCATTTTACTGTGGTTTTAGTTTGTTTCTTCATTTGATCTTTAATTTTAGAGTGTGTGTAAATGTGGCAAAATGAATTTAGAGTAAGAAAAAGTTTGTGTTCCTTGAAAGCCAAGTAAATTAATCCAGAGAGAAAAATATAAACGTAGCTTGGACTTGCTCCATTTTTACACATAAATGTTCATGTAAAATTCTTTCAAAAGATGCATACTACAACAGTGTAAAAATATTCTAAGTTTGTGGTCTGTAATTTTGAAGAATAGATAATGTGAGATTCTAGATGATGTCTACGTTCTCAGTCTCACATTTTCTTTCCCTCTCAATAACTGCCTCTCCCCCATCCTCCAGTCCCCTCCAGCACCCCCAGCCTCCCTCTTCCTTTGGCTTCTTCTCTAGTCAGAGACCTCCCCTCAGCTCCACCTCCCCCTCTTTTCAAATCCGGTTTCTGTTGTTTTATAAAAGATTTTTCAAATAGATTATGTAATTGATTTTCTTACACCAATGCACCCCACCCCAGCCAGTCTTTTGTCCTAAGCAGTTCTGCTGTAGAAGTATTCTTGGCAAAAAATACAGATGAAAATAAAAATATTTAATTCCCTGTGTTATGTTTAGCCTCATTGATGCTACTCACAGAGATGTGGATGTGCTGTTACTGCTTTCTAACTCTGCCTACTACGTGGCCTAGTAAGTTGCTTATTGATTTAAAATAAAGCTTTTGATTTTTTAAAAACTTGAGTAAATTTCCTTCTTAGAATTCATAACAATATGATTTTATTATATATTTCATTAAAGTTACTTGGATCCCTTTACCTTTTTATAACTGTTAACATCATTCTGACCGCCTTTTATTGGTTTGAAAATGTGATTTTAAAGTTAAAATCAATATTGTATTCTTTTAGCATTTAGCATTTCCTATATATCTCCCAGGCATTGATGTATTTCATATATTTTGTCATTAATGGCCATATGCCATTGTTTGTTATAAAGTATTTTCCCATTGTTAGGTATTGAATTACTTCCAATTTTTTATTGTCATGAATGATGCAGCTGTCTTTTTGCGGCTAACTTGTATATGCGCATGCATGCTTCTTTGGTTACAAGTGTCTGATGAATTATATGCTGTTAGTGATTTATCGTCAGTTACCTTCAGAAAGACTACCAATTAATAATGCCACTAACAAAATACAAGTACTTGTTCCCTTACACCTTACCAGAATTTTTTAGTTTTAACTTATATTGTATTTTCTAAGTAAATACTCACTTTATTTTTGGTTTTATGTGAACCATCATTTTTTTAGTCATTGGTCCAGATGTCTGTTGGGCATACATTACATGGAATTTTCATTCTTAATTTTGGAAATCCATTTTATCTGCTTTATTTCCAAATACATAGTTTCTCTGTGTTGTGTTTTGCCTTTTAGGTTAGGTTTTAGATTCATTTTCATTTCATACAAGTTTTTATAAAACTGAAATTACTTTCACTTTGTAATTGATTTCCCTTTTTCCTGTAAGATCTACAAACTGATTTTTCTTTAGCCATTTTGAACTCTGTTATTCTTGTTTAATCTAGCTTTAAAAATGGTTTTTGTTTAACTCTTTAATATGTATGTATTGTACTGTGGAAGATTGTTAACGTTTAATAGTTTGCTAATGTTAAACCTCAGCTGAAAAGCCAAATATGCTTTTGATTTTAATCTTCTTTTTACTTCCTTTCTCTTTATCTAGTTATGATGATGAAATTGATAAAGTAAACCAGTATCAAAGACTAAGTCTAGAAGACCTGGAAAAAATAGAAATAGGTAAATTTTTTTTTTTTTTTTGCAGTTTTTGGCTGGGGCTGGGCTTGAACCCACCACTTCTGGCATATGGGGCTAGCACCCCACTCCTTTGAGCCACAGGCACCACCCAATAGGTAAATTCTAACATAATACCAATCATAGAAAGCAAATGCTGTTGCTTCCAAGAATGGCTTACATTATTTAAGCAACTGGTACAACATTTATTAGAAACCAGAAAGGGATAGTCCAAGCCATTGGTTAGTGATGAATGTATACTCTAATGATAATAATGTATTATTTACCTTGTAAAGATTAGTTTAATAATTGAAGCTGAGAGGATTTTTATAGCCTCATCAAACCAAATGGTCATGATAAACTCATATTTTTTGTGCTCTCATTTGGATTATGAAGAAAATGTGTTAAATATGTAATTGATATATGTGTGTTAGTCTTTTAAAGATAGAAAAGAAAGTGCATGTTATGTGAAAGATGGAACTTTCAACACATTTATTTGGGTTTTTAGGTCCTGAACCCACTCTTTTTGGTAAGCCAAAGTTCTCCTGCATGCGACTGTACTACAGGTACAGAGAAACAAGTGGCTATTTCCACACGCTGAGAGCTGTAATGCGAAATCCAGAAGAGGATGGAAAAGGTAAAAAGAGGAAAAGGTGAAAATATTCAGTGGTCACTTTATATCTGCTCTAACAAGCACAAATAGAACTGGAGACATTTTAAACTATAACCAACTGGAATGAGAACTGATCCAGGAAGCTTTGGGATCTGAGATATTAAAAAAGCAACTCTTGTTTCCAGCAGTGCAGGGATATTTTGAATGGATTATGTGGTTTTTGGCAAGGGACTCCACAGTGGGGATCCTCAGTGTATTTGGCCATATCAGAAGCCAGGTAGGTGCCAGAGCTTCGTCTACCTCATGTTCCTCTTGTGCGTAGCAAGCGAAGACCATGCCTCTCTTGTTCACAATTCTTGCTTTGGCATCTAGCACAGTACAAGCGCATTTTTAATACCAGTTGAGTTCTTTTGATTTTTTTTTTTTTTTTTTTTTTGAGACAGAGCCTCAAGCTGTCCCCCTGGGTAGAGTGCCGTGGCATTATAGCTCACAGCAATCTCCAACTCCTGGGCTCAAGCGAGTCTCCTGCCTCCGCCTCCCAAGTAGCTGGGACCACAGGCGCCCGCCACAACGCCCGGCTATTTTTTGGTTGCAGCCGTCATTGTTGTTTGGCGGGTCCAGGCTGGGGATTCGAACCCGCCACCTTAGGTGTACATGGCTGGCGCCTTAGCCGGTTGAGCCATAGGCGCCGAGCCAGTTCTTTTGATTCTTGTTATTTACTCTTCTGTTAAAATTATTTTACAACATTTTGAATTAGTTGGGGGAATAGTGAACAAGTAGTTTTCTATAAATTGCAGCAAGTAAATTTCATTGAAGTTTGTGTAACTTACAACTATTTTTTTGGTATGTTTCTGGAGAAATCAGCAGGTGTTTATCTTTGGGTTTTAGATACCCTCCAGTGCATTGCAGAGATGCTGCAGATCACCAAGCAAGCCATGGGTTTGGATGTACCCATAATTGAGAAAAAACTTGAGCGGTGAGTATGCTACTTCTCTCAAGATTCTCTTTGGGACTGACTGTCTCCCAAGAATAGTAGAGTCTTATTTCTTTAAAAGTATTTGCAACAAGGAGCTGGAGGGGATCACATTAGGGTGATGTTTTACAACACTTTTTATTTAAATTCTGTATTTCTATATGTAATTTTCAAATAATTTCTAAACTTATAGAAGAGTTACACAAATAGTTCAGAGTTTCCATTTACCCTTCATTCAGACTTTTTTTTCTTAACTCCTGATTCTATCACCTACCCTTCAGCCCCAGTGGGAGAGATACTTAGTATTCCTTTACTTCAACTTTGTTTTCTGTAAGATGAAATAATAAAGTCTATGTCAGAACTGCATGGACTGAATGCTAATCACTTAGACTAACAACACCACTGCAAAAGATTTTGGTTGCTGGCTTTTTTTCTTTTAAAAAAGTCATGACATGTATCTTTGTCTTCCTCAGAAGAGTATCCCAGACTTGGGAATCCAATTTAAAAGGCTTGAATATTTCACTTGGTCTTAACAGTGCCAAATTCCCTGCTAGACTTATTTAACCATACATACACCTTAAAGATTGTTTAAATTTTTTTTTTCCTTTTTTTTTGAGACAAAGCCTCCCTCTGTTGCCTAGGTTAGAGCATAGTGGTATCATGATAGCTCATATTCTCGGGTTCAAGCGATCCTCCTGCCTCAGCCTCCCAAGTAGTATATGGGTGTATAACACTACGTCCAGCTAATTTTTGTATTTTTTGTAGAGAAGGGTCTTAAACTCCTTGGCCTGGAGCAATCCTCTCACCACAGCCTCCAAAAGTGGTAGTATCACGGGTGTGAGCTACCATGCCTGGCCTAGAAGTCTTCTTAAAACTGAGACCTAGACTTTTTCTTGAATGCCATGGCATTTTAAATATATTTAGGGTATTCACCCGGGTTTAAAAGCTTAATATACAGAATATATAAAACAGTCTCTGAGTCATTTGATGGTATTTTGCAAACATCATGATGAAATAGGCTCAGAGAATCCCTCTGAGAGATAGCTCTGTACTTTGCCATCCTGGATACAACTTCTGTGGCCACAACTGATTTTTAATTCTTAAATAAACTGATGAGAGGGGGCATTCAAGCTTAAGTGCTTTGTAGAGAAAATCATGTTTTTTAAACACTAAAAAGAATGCATATTAGCAGATTATTTTTTATATTTAACATTTGTGGATTTTTCCTCCTAATGAGCACTGATGAGGCTTCACTGTCCACATCCTACTAGGGAAAAGCACAGTTTGGTCAGCTAGAGGAAAATTGTTCAATCTTCTGTTAATGGAAAGGAGAACTGTTTTAGTAGCTCTTTTTTTTTGGATAGAGATATCACCTTCGGGAGAATGCCGTGGTGTCACACAGCTCACAGCAACCTCCGAATCCTGGGCTTAGGTGATTCTCTTGTCTCAAGTCTCCCGCATAGCTGGGACCACAGGCACCCACCACAATGCCTGGCTATTTTTTTGTTGTAGCTTGGCCGGGGCCTGGTTTGAACCTGCCGCCCTTGGTATATGGGGCCGGCACCCTATGCACTGAGCCACAGGTGCCGCCCCGTTTCAGTAGCTCTTTAACCTCATACTTTTTCTGCAGTATTCTCAGGATCAGTGATCCTGCCTGACCAACCAGAATACAGATCCACATTCTGAGACATTTGTAGCAAATGGCACCCAGGCTTTTCTTCGTATTTATGGACTGTCATGAGGGATGCCAGAGAAGAGGAGACACTACAATTAGTTATGTTAAAGGTCCCAGATCTTTTCAAGTAAATTCAGGTAACACACAGGAGACATAAGGAAATGAAAGACTTTCCCCTTCTTCTCCTCCCCATACCTGAATTTGGACAAACAGATGGTCAGTGTATAGACTGACCATCTTAGTTAAGATGCTGTAGATTGCCATTCATAGTCTGATGCTTTTGCTTATTGTCTAGGTTGTGGCTGTGGTAGAATTACATTGCCCCAAATGGTAGCCATTCCCATATGGCTATAAAGACTTGAAATGTGACCAGTCTGAATTCAGGCATAAGTGTAGAATACCATGTACTCTGCACAGACTGTGTCAGACTTAGTCTAGAAAAAGAGTATCTTTCACCATATGTTGAAATATTTTGCATGTATTGGGTTAAATAAAATGCTATTAAAATTAATTTCACCTGATTCTTTTCAGTGTAACTGTTAAAAAAATTTAAATTACATACGTATTTCATTTCTATTAGACAGCATTATTTTTGTGTCATCTCTCAGGGGTTATCTGAGTTATCAATTATCAATGCACTGTTTTAAAGAAATTAGAACCAATTTCTTGAAATAAGCCAAGCCCTTAATTAGGAAGCTGGTATTTGAATTTCATGGAGAAATTAACATTTTTTGTTTTTTCTTTTTCTGTTCTAATTTGTAGGAAGAGCAGTAAACCTCATGAAGACATCATTGGTATCAAATCTCAAAACCAAGGCTCTTTGGCCCAGGGAAAAAAATTTTTAATGAGCAAATTTTCATCTCTAAACCAAAAAGTGAAGCAAACCAAATCCAATGTAAATATTGGCAACCTACGAAAACTAGGAAACTTTACAAAACCTGAAATGAAAGTTAATTTTCTAAAGCCAAATTTAAAAGTAAATCTTTGGAAGTCAGATAATAGTCTTGAAACCATGGAAAACACAGGAGTGATGGATAATAAGGTCCAGGCAGAGTCTGATGGGGACCTATCTTCAGACAATGACTCATACCATTCTGATGAATTTCTTACAAATTCCAAGTCTGATGAAGACAGGCAGCTAGCTAATTCTTTAGAGAGCGTAGGGCCAGTAGATTATGTTCTTCCTAGTTGTGGTATCATTGCTTCAGCACCTCGACTAGGCAGTCGATCCCAGTCTATTAGCAGCACTGATATTAGCATTCATGTTCCTTCAGAGATTACTGTTGCTCATGGGAGTGGGCATGGAAAAGGCCAGGAAAATCTACTGATGATGAAAAGTCCTTCTGCCGACAACATACACGTATCGACTAGTTTTGCCAAGCCTGTGGATATTTACTGCCACAGATTTGTGCAAGATGCACAAAACAAAATGTCCCAGCTATCAGAGACCAGGTCTGTGTGTCAGCAGGAGAGTGAGGAAGGAAATCAAACAACCAATCAAGTTTCCAGTGAAGCAACCCAATCAGAGTCAACGGAACAGACACCTTCCCGACCATCTCAATTGGATGTGTCATTTTCTGCAACAGGCCTACAGTTTTTGTCAGTTGAACCCTCAGTAGTATCTCAAAAAAACCCCAACTCTGGTTCCAGCATGCTTGAACTTGAGACAGGGCTTCATGTAACTCCTTCTCCTTCAGAGACCAGTAGCAGAGCAGTCTCTCCCTTTGCAAAGATCCGAAGTTCCATGGTCCAGGTTGCAAGTATTACCCAAGCTGGATTAACCCATGGGATAAACTTCGCAGTGGCAAAAGTTCAAAAAAGTCCTGCAGAACCTGAGGTGGTTAATGAAGTTCAGCAAAATGAACTTAAAAATATGTTTATACAATGCCAGACACGGATAATTCAGATTTAGTTTTTGGCCACAAAATCCTTTCATAGCTTTTATTTAAAAATTTGAAGTTTTTACATGTTAGGGTATTTAATCTTACACTGTCTGAATCTAGGGGTCACAGATTCTGGTTTTGGGGGAAGGGTTTCAAAAGTCGGAACCTGAGCAGATTGCTAAGTCAGAGCTAGGACTACAAAAGTGCATCCTCCTAGAAAGTAGTTTGTACACTACAGAGCATTTGCTCACTGGAGAGTAATTTCAAGTCACTTTGGGATAGGATCTAAACCTTTGTTGGAGCAGGGTGGGTGGAGTGTCTGTCAAGTAGGCCCATTAAGGGATTAGTGTTTCTCCTAATTTCTTCTGTTTGTCAGTTCATTCCTGTGTATTTAGCTTTTTGTGACTTCAAAGTGTTAACTAGTACCCAGAAGCATTTGAATAGAAAAAAGCTTTTCATTTTGATGGCTTAACCATTCTCTGTGAGTTATGATTGAGGGTTGACACTAAAGTCAAGAAATGTATTCTCATTTGATCCTTGTTTTTCCATATTCCTACTTGAACAAATTTATAATATTCTGCCTATAAACCCCCAAATCTAGGAGCATTAAGACTTGTCAGTAACTGAGATATCAAATGTGAATACTAGCACCTATTAAACTGCATTTTGCTGTTTTTAGAAATGTAGGAATATATATACACACATATATATGTATCAGCTACTGGAAATTCTAGAAGGACATCTTCAAGTTTTAACTTTTTACAACAGGCGATTCCTCAACTTCCTGTCTACAAACTACAACTATTGAAAATTTAGTCTGGAGCACAACTTGTGCTAAAACTAGTTTTATGACTATACCCCTGACCACACAGAACTAGGGCCACTAACTCTCACAGTAAGAACGCTGAGTATTCCAACAAGTATCAGTTTGGTATCTTTAGAGCCTTACTCTGTTGAAGTGATTCTCAGCTGAACATTGTGTCTATTATAACTCTGATATGCATTCCACTTTTGTTAGTAGTGGTATTTTTTTTTTTTGAAGTGTCAAATCTTGTGACTATTAAAATAAAGTACCAACATTTGGTTTGAGGTGTTCCAAATATTTTACTACTTTGAAGTGTTCTTATTTTAGAAATGATGACCTGGATCAAACATTCAAAACTGAACGCTTTATTCTATTCCTACCAAGTTTGGGTCTTGAAAATACTAAGAGTTCCCATTATAAGAGAAAATAACAAGCCAAGATTAGGTGATAAAACATGCATAGAAATTAGTTCTGAAGATCCTGAAAACTAAACATGGCCTAGTTCCAAACAGGGTTTTTATACATGTTTAGTTTCCTGGTCATTTATATAGGGCAGACATCTTGCCTTAAATCACAGCAATAGATGTGACTGTCCACTTGAATAAGGCAAGGGAGAAAAGAGCTCTTCTGCAGTGGACAGTGCCACTGTGCTACCTGGGTGGGCTTTGAATAGGCGGTCATCTTCCACACTTCCTTTTCGCTCTGCCATGCTGTTCCACCAAGAGGACACAGGCTCTTTTTCTATACAAGATTACTTAGGATGCTGAATCTCACAATTCATGAATAATCCAAAGTGCTAGTAATTTGGGAAGTTTTATTTATTGGCAAGAGGGCTCTTTCAAGGGAACTTTTCTGCAAGACCAAGAAATATATTTCTCTTTGGTAAGTTACAATTTACATTGGCACAATAAACATGGTAACTTATCTACTTTGTTCTAGGACCCAGTTAAGCCATCTAAAAGTTTAAGGAAGGTCTAGCCTATCAGTTATAAAAATGAAAACCAGTTAGAATTCTAATATAAACATTATTTACATTAGTTTATAAAAATAGATTTGAATTTAGGAAAAGTTACTATTAAACAACTAGTAATTTTTACGTCAGTTCACTAGGCATTAACGAATTCCTTGATTTTTCAAGGCTGACCCTGTTTCCTTGGTTAACAATGTCAATTTAGGCCTTCCATAAAAAAAAAATTTAAGTGATCTATTTCCAACTAGGTAAGTTACTTACTAGAAGAAATTATATATAACATTGAATGCTTAACAAAGTAACATTCTAATCTTTCCGAAGATCCTTCTTGCCACAATTATACAACTTAACAGTAATTTTCTCTGATATTTTTGTTGGATTTAAAACTAATTCATCTGGAGAAAACCTACCTGCAGTTGTATCAGGCCATTACTGGAGTAGCAGATGTTAGTTGATTTAACATATTTAGAATAAATGTGGTAAAATCATAAAAAGCTAAAAATCCAATATAACCAACCAAAGCGAGTAAATGACACTAGGAAATAATTAAAAGCCGTTCTTTCTAAAGAGATACTATTTTGCTCTTTCATATTTGGGTAAAACTTTGTAGAGCAGCATTCCCTTAAGTGTGGTTCCCAAATGCACTAGGATGTAATGAGAAAAATAAAACAATGTACTGGGGTTTTTTCCCTCCCCCAAAGCTACTTTTATTCCACTTACAGGACTATCATGTTCTGAAATTGTCCTTTATGAAGAAAAAAAGGCAAATAGTGATTTCTTTTAGATTACTTGACAAAATAAACTGTCAACCCTATGTCCCCCAAATTTTTGGAAAGATTACTGTTGACCCATGAAATTCAAAAGTCTGGGAACCACCACCATGTAAAAGACTAGTTTTGCAGTCTGTTACCTGCTGAGTAGGAAAAAGTTTCTGTGGCCAAACCCCTGGGAAATGAACAATACAGAATTTCACATGGTCATGTGAATCAATGGTAAACACACCCCATTCCCCAAATTTGGACTACTGACTACACCCAACCCCACCATTAACTGAAAAGACACCTGAAGTGCACAATTCTCATACGAAGTTAACATTAGCAATTCAACAGTTTGGCCTGTGACTTGGTTGAAGCTAAATATAATCAGCAACATTAATCAATATTAAACTTTTAATATCAAATACTTTTCATTACATCATTACTAACTTATATAATTATAAAACAAACTTTAAAAGCTCCATAAAACCAGTAAGGTAAAAGCCCTTACTGAATATCATATAAACGTCAGATGTTACCAGGCTTGATTTCAGGAAAAGTCGTTGGTTTGTGATACAAATTGTCTATAAAATGATGCAGTATAAATGGTATTTGACTTTTACAATAATGTGGCTACAGTTTCCCCATTATTCTTCATAGGCCTCTCTCTGATCTTTAAAGTTCATTTCCATTCACACACTTTTGCTGTTGAAGCCTGATTCTTCTTAGAGACTCTAGCTGCTTTGCTCTTAGCCATCGTTCCCTTGACAGCGTTGTCTGACCAGCACTGAGAGACAGACACCTGATTTGAAATATAGAAACAAATTTAAGTCTACTGCAAACATAGTAACTTGACTAGGAATACTTTTTAAAATGAAACAGTCCTTATTAGGAGTCAAGTCTAGTAGCTACACACAAGTCAACAGCCAAGTCAGCCTGCTACAAAGGAATCTTTTGAAGAGCCAGTATTGGAGGGTGGCTCACTCTGAAGCTTGGAGAACAAGCAAAGCAGCATGCCTGTTCCACTGAAGAGATCACCAGTCAAACACAGAACCCCCTCTATAAGCCTTTTCAGACGGTGTTAACTGAAAGGAAAAGTTAATATCTGTTTATAGAAGTCTGCTTTAGTTATTGCTGAATAAATCAGGATACTTATGCACAACTTACTGAGAAAGCAATTATGAACATGAGCTACTTACCGAGCCACCACAAGCAGCTGGTGGAGATCGTCGGCTGTGATGCTCTGAGGGTCATTCTTACGCATTTCTACAAAGTCATCTTCAACTGCCTTTATCAAGAGTAAATAAATATACTTTAAAACTACTTCTCATGAACAGTTTTGAGACAGAGTCTCACCATGTTGCCCTCGATAGAGCGCTGTGACGTCACAGTTCACAGCAACCTCAAACTCTTGGGCTTAAGCAATTCTCTTGAACCAGCCTCCCAAGTAGCTGGGACTACAGGTGCCGGCTACAATGCCCAGCTATTTTATTTCTGTGTTGTTGTAGTTGTCATTGTTAGCTGGCCCAGGCTGGATTTGAACCCACCAACCTGGGTATATGTGGCCGGCGCCGTAACCACTGTGCTACAGGCGCCAAGCCTCCTCACCAACAGGTTTGAGAGGAAATGACATTATGTTGTTATAAGATAAAAGAAAGTAACATGGTCCCTTGACTGATTTACAAATGTCAGCCTTGCCTTAGGCAAAAGGAGCCAATGTAGGTGAAAACACTGAGAACCAAAACTTTTTTTTTTTTTTTTTGGCTGGGGCTGGGCTTGAACTCACCACCTCTGTTATATGGGGCTGGTGCCCTACCTCTTTGAGCCACAGGTGCTGCCCTGAGAACCAAAACTTTATACACAATGCTACTGAGTAAAATATTCTAAACAAAATTGTGACACTAAGGTTAATTTGACACGGTCATGCAAACATACAAATAAGCAACTGGCGCAGCAAATATGCTTTTCAACAAAGAATGATGTTAGCAAGAATGGCAGAGCAAGAACTTCTAAAAATTGTCTCCACTATTAAAGCAGTAAGAACACCAATCAAAATTAACTTCCTTTTTCAAATCTCTGGAAATAAACCACATTCTACCAGCAATCCAGACAGTATTTATGCAAGAAAACCAGGTGACTCTTGGTAAGAATGCTGACCTTTACGGCATTTTAATTTGCCCTATTTACCATATTCCAGTCCCTATCCAGCTGGGTGACAGCCTTGAAAACCAACACTGGCAACCACTAAAGAGGGCAGAACAGGATTGGAGCTCCTTCAAAGTACCATTCACAGAGGGGTTCCCTGAAAGAACCCACTTGCAAGGTTATTTTTTTTTAACTTGAAGTTTGCCCAGGATGAACAGCCTATTTCTCTAGGACATTTACCAAGAAGAATCAGAGGAAATTACCAATCATCTTGGCTGCCTCAGACACGGGATAATAGCTGCGGCAAATGACACACTAAATAAAATCCTTAAATAGGAAAGGTGAGAAATGAAATGTTCATAGAGGGCCTTGAAAACTTAGTAGGCCTCCTAGGAATTTAGTAGGCCACATGAATGCTCAGAGACTAATGATGTCTCACCAAATAGAGAAAAGCAACACAAAGATAGAAATAATTTTTTAAAAGAAGCAAATTCTGGAATTGAAAAATATAGTTAACTGATAAAAAAAAAACTGACTAGATATATTCAGAAGTTTGAGCAGGAAGAATGAATCAGGAAATTTGAAGATAGGTTGATGGAGATTATTTAGTCTATGAAACAGTAAGAAAAAAAAGAGTGAGAAAAAAATGAACAGATGTTCTATAGGCTATCTTCAAGTGCACCAACATGCATATAAGGGGAGTGCCAGAGGACAGGGAAGAAAGGTGTAGAAATTCAAATAAATAATGGCTAAAACCTTCCCAAATTTGTTGAAAACGTCCCCCAAATATGCATTAATCTATAATCCCCAAACTCAATAAACTTCATAAAAGATAAAGAGATTCACACCTAAACATATCAGTCAAAACTGTGAAAAAGAGAGACTCTTAAAAGCGTTAAGAGAAAAATGACTCATAATCTAGCTGATTTCTCATTAGAAAACAGGCTAGAAAGGAGTGGGAGGACATAGTCAAAGTGACGAGAAAAAGACTAAACCACAAATTCTATAGCCTTTAAGGAGAAATCAAGGAATTACAGATAAAAACTTAAAAGAGAATTTGTCACAAGCAAATCTGTTCTGCAAAAAAACACTAAAGAAAGTTCTTCAGACTGAAAATGAAGGGATACTAGATAATAACATGAATCCACATGAAGAAATAAAAAAAGCTGGTAAAGGTAACTACATAAATACAAAAAAGAGTATAAATATCTTGGCTCGGCGCCTGTGGCTCAAGCGGCTAAGGCGCCAGCCACATACACCTAAGGTGGTGGGTTCGAATCCCCAGCCCGGGCCCGCCAAACAACAATGATGGCTGCAATCAAAAAATGGCCGGGCGTTGTGGTGGGCGCCTGTGGTCCCAGCTACTT